CTCAGTACGCATGATGGATTGGTTGGGTTTGAGTAACCAGCCAGCAATGGCGATCAGTTCGACTTGGTGGACGTCTGCTGCGTCGCTCCTAATATCTTCATGACCAATTATTAATGGAGCTGCTAACTTTCAGCAGACTGACGATTCGTAGAAATATTGAATCTAACCCATCGTCGCTCTATTCTATCCACGGATCTGATCAACACACAAAGCATCAAACTAGCTAAGATCAGGCATATATATTCATCCAGGTATGCACGATCTCATGCATTATCATTTTTGTGCCATGACGAGCATGACACATATACAGTACAGATGAACTTGAGTTTGCAATGGAAGGGGTCGAGTAATTAATTACGTACCTCAGTTATGTTGATTGGGCATGCAGTAGCAGGAGAATGGTCCAACCGACGATTGTCTGTATCTCTTCAGCAATTAATAATGCTGCTGCAACCTCCCCTTCATTTTGGGAGGGAATGGTCCAACGTCCAGCGGATTCCACTTCGATTATAAATATTTAATCTAACCCAGTCGATTAATCCATCCGCTGACCTGATCAAAACGTACACAACCATGAAACTACTCCCTTAGTCGTGACATACAAGGGATTTCCAGTTGTCTGATGTCAAATTATCATAATTTTGACCAAGTTTACAGAGCAGAATGTTAAAACTATCACATCGAATATGTAGGTTATAGAAATAGATTTCATAATATATCTAATAAAGCTCATGTGATGTCATAAGTATTATGGTTCTTTTCTAAACATTGGCCCCGTTCGCTGGTCTGAAACTTGGCTGAAAAACACTGTTCCGGCTGGTTTGTTGTGAGAGGAAAAACACTGTAGCGGCTGAAACTGGCTGAATCTCCAGACATTATACTTCAAGACAGATGGAGCATTTAACAACATATACACTATCAACGGATATGTACAGTCTCGTGCATTGTAGTTTTGGTGCCATATTTGATATATCCAGTTTCAAACTAGTTGATTTCCATGATGGCCATTGGCCATGCTACATGCAGTACAGATGATGAACTTGAACTTGCGCTGGAATGGATCTAGCAAGTAATTAAGTTACATACCTCAGTAATGTTGAATTGGCATGCAGTAACAGCAGATAGAAGCCAAACAGATGGAACTGATGATTGAGGGAGTGTATGTGCTTGTGTGCCTTTGAGAGAGAGACAGAGAGTCTACATAGAAGCAAAGCGGCTGTTAGCAGTCCACAAACTTTGCCTTTTTAGGCGAATGTCTGGATAAACTTTTCTATTGTGCGTCTGTGAGAGAGACAGTAGTCTAGATAGAAGCAAAGCAGCTGTCGGCATAGTTCACAGAGGTCTTTTTAGGCAAATGTCAGGATAAATTAAACTTTTCTTTTGTGCGTCTGGATGCTCGTCAGAGATGATTCTTTGCTTACTCGCAAGGAAAATGAAGAACGATGATTCTTTGCTTGGAACCAGCTAACCGCTGCTGAATTTTCAAAACATAAAGATCAATAAAGCCATGCTAGTAATAAGTAGTGAGGCAAGGGCTCCTCTGTTCCTTGTTATCTGCCTGATCTGGTCCTCCTGTAGAGTACAATTTAGTACTGTACTACCCTTTGTTTTGCTGCCTTCCTCATCAGAGAGAAGATTTAGGTTGGACGAGGAAATAAAAAAAAACGGGAAAGGGACGGAAACAACGGACGGTTCATGGAAAAAACACGGACATAGTTTTTTTGTATTTGATGGCGAGTCTGAGCCACTTCAGGATTAGGTTGGACGAAAATTTAGGGTGGTAAGAGATTTTGTCTCTTTAGTATCAGGGATTTAGTATTAGGGATTAGGGATAGATTACCTCCGGACAAAGTTGAGATGGACCACGATAACACCATTGTCTCCTAGCTAAATCATATGAACAGAAGAAGTGGATAGGAAATATATCTCTATCCCTAATATTAAAGCGTTAATTAATATGAACAGAAGTGGATAGCAAATTTATCACTATCTCTAATATTAACTAGGATAGGAAACGTGCCAATGCATAGCACGGAACCCGATATATCTTGGAATCGAATTTTTTATCATCGCGGAACGTTAGTTGTTGTAACTCGTATGAGCACGAATCATAAATCCAAGTCATGTATTGAGAACTACAGCTTTAGTATGGATCATGTCAACATATGAGGTTGTTTAAATTTTTTAAAATTTTAAATCCACGAATTTAAAATAATATTTTAGGACTTTTTCGAATGAAGAACTTCTCAACTACAGTTTGATATAAAGTTTGTCGAGTTCTTATGAAAAAATTATGAATTATTTTTTAATGAACTATTTTTAGAGACGACATCTTAATATGTTCGCCTCAGAAAATCAATTTTAGAGATGGACACTTAAAATGGCTGCCTCTGTTAATAGCAATTTTTTAGAGATGGACATCTAAAGATATCTATCTTAGGCCGCCCACCTCAGTAATTGATTTTCAGAGGTGGGAATTTGCCTCGAGGCCGCCTGGCCATTTACGGAGGCGGTCTCTAGATGTGCACGCCTCTGCTAATCAGTGAGGCGATCTCCTAAAATCGTTTTTGTGACAGTGAGTCCAAATGGACCGCTATAACCTCGCTAATGCTATGAATTTCTTTGGTTATTTATTAGTTTGTGCCCATCTCTTCCAGTTGGACTTCACATATGTTTGCATGGAAAGCATATTGGTCCTTTCCCGTTTTTTGCATGGGCAATATGATCTATTCACGCACCTTTCTTTCTCCCAATCCATTGAAATGGATATTTTAATGCTTGCGTTGTCCAGCGGCAAAGAAACATAATTTCATAATGGAACCGAGCAAATTTTAGAATTGGCGAAGCAAAATTTGCCTAAAACAAAAACCCATTGAACAAAAGAAGTAGACATCAAAACAATATTTAAACATGAAACCCATATTATTTTTTATCTTCAGTGAGTGCCATCATGACTAATCTGAACAGTCAAAAGCCGAGCTTTTTTTCTTTGAAAATGTCAGTCAGGTATCCATATAGAGCAACTAGCTAATTAAGGTCCCGTTTGGCATGGCTCCACTTGACTAGTGTAGCCATTTTTGAGCTTCAACTCTCTCGTGAGAGCTGCAGCTATTTTTATGGACTGTTTGGCTAAACAACTCCTCCTTGTAGACAATATTAATGAAAAGACCAAAATACCCTCCTCCTCCTCCTTCTCTCGGTCCTTCTTCTTCTCTCTCAGTCCTTCTCAACACATCCGGTGGCGCTGCAGGCCCCCCCAGCGATGTCCGTGCTGCTCATGCGTGTCTAGCAGGCGATGGCGGCGTCCGCGCACCCCTACAACAGCGTCTCAAGGCTCGGCGCCTCGAGCGGTGGTGGCGGCCAAGCCCACGCTACTCGACGGCGGCACCCTTTGTCCGCCCTAATGCGTTTGGCAAGTGGCATTCGATCCCACGCACCCCCGCAACGACGTCCGCTCTCACGCTTTCGGCGGCGGCGCCTTGTCCGCACCGGAAGACCCATGAAAGCCTGCGGCCGGATTCTACGCCCTCGGCGCCCGTTCCTGGTCTTCCCTGCTTTCGCCCGGCAAGCGCAGCCTAGCTTCCCCACACACGCCTCTTCTTCTCTATGCAGGAGCAAAACGGGTCTCTGTACTCTGGGCCCACTAAGGCGAGGTGGAGCTGGGTGAAGCCACTATTTCCAGCTTCATCTCGCACCTATTCTCTGTCTCGGCAGGTTTTAAGGGGCTCCTTGGGTGGAGTTATTTTGTTTTACCCCATTTGGCACAAAATGGCTCCAAATACCTCCAGAACCGGTGGTGTAGTTGTGCCAAAAGGGCCCTAAAGGCACCACTTTTCCTTCAAGGGTCTAGAAAAGTTCCATGATGAATTGACGTTCACATCTTCACATCTGAGAAAAAGAACTAATAGACATCAGAGGAAGATTGGACTATGGAGAGATATCAATTTATACATGACCACATATATTTACGAGCATAAATTTTGTCACCATGAGAGCACATGTGACAGTAGTATTATTGCACTCCATAAAAGAGTTAGCACATGTTTTCCAAGTAAGAAACATTTATATTGGACCCACATACATAGTTCCATACGTAGTACTGGATGTTGAAATCACACATACAACCATCAACATTTATTTATTTGTTCACAAACATAAGTAGCGCAACAATAACATTGATCACTCTACTCCACACATAACTGAAAAGTCAACACACCACACAACAGTGCAGCACACACCAAACCAAAGTTCACAATCACACCAGACAAGAGCACACCAATTGGCAGTAGCACGCATGAGGGCATGTCTCATGCTGCTGTTGCACAAGCTGAAGGGAATTCAGCTGTTGGACTGAATGCTCACTGGCTCTTATTTTATCTCACTACCGCCCAAACAGAGCACATAGGCAGCAGTGATGGATGGATGGCTGGATCCCTCGAGGAAACCTGACCAAACAAACCAAAGCAAAGCAAACTAATGCAAACAAGACAGACCACAGGACGCAAGCAAAAGCATATGCATCCATGTTGTCATTTGCACGCGCGCGCGCACACACGAACCGATCAAGTGGATGCAGAGAAGTAGAACTGTGAGCAGGAGATCGAAGGCGAGACACCAGCTAGCTGGCCAGCCAGTTACTGTAATCCAACAAAGAGCCGGCCGGGTTACCTCACCTGCAGGAGTTGGAGAGGAGAGCATCAGAGAAAAACAATAATATCCATCAATTCAGGTGAGCAAATCAACAATGTGAAGTGTCTGGCATGGCAATCGCCCTTGGTGCACATATATAAAAGGAATGCATAATGCATCACTAACCACTAAGCCATTGGTCAGCATCATAAATAATGCTACTGTAGTTGTCTTGTACTATGATAAGCATATGTAAAAACTTTGGAGTTAGATGGCTGAGATGGAGGGAAGGGCGTTCAATTGGTTGCTAAATAGACTTGGGAGACAGAATTCTAATATACTTCAACTGCATGATGGAAAAGAGTGAGGGACTACCTGAGCACACTGCTCCTGAGCATGGTCTTCTTGTAATACCGTGGGTGGATGGGTCTGTAGTTGTCCGCTTGCGAGCGGTCATCCCAGTCTAGCCTGTCCCACCATTCCTTCTCGCAGTCGCACTCCACTACCTTGTTGCTGCGGCCAATGTCAGGAAGGCGCCTGAGGCTCCAACAGCCCCTGATCTTGACTGTCTCAAGATTCGGTGCAGACATTCTAACCCCACAAATGTGCTGTAGTGAAGGGAGCTCATGCAGGTGGATATTCTTCAACTTGGGGAAGTCTTTGGAATTTGGCTTGTCTTCTTCGAAAGGAAATATCTCCTTGAGATCACCGCACCATGCAATCTCAAGGGTCTCTAGGAGGCGCAAGCTGTCCTCATCCCCGCGAAACAACCCCATGGTCAAAGGGAGTACGTGTATAAGCCTGGGGCAGAAGTCCAGGTGCAGCAATGCCAGGTTGGGAAATGCACGCGCTCCATTTGATGTCGAGATATATCTTGTCTTTAAGAGTTGGGATGCCCAGAATGTTCTCAGCTTGTAATTAAACGGCATGGGCCCTATATTGAAGATAAAGTCCAATTTGGGGCACCTCTCGATTCTGCACCACTCTAGGTCAGGCCATTCTGAACCATATTCAACTGAAGTGATGCTAGTGATGTACAGGTTATCGTGCACATGCAGGATCTTAGCAGACTTAGTTACAAACTTTGGGACAGTAATAGTACTAGTCTCTTCACCACCTGGAGGTAATTTTGTCTTTATCTGGTCTTGTATGTGCATGTAGCACCTCTTTTCTGGAAGATCAGGAACATCCGGGCAAGGCCACATCCACATGATTCCCAGAGTATCATCACCGCCTTCACTAGCTTGTTGTAGGCGGTCCACGGAGATATCTGTGTATACTGCAGGCACAGGCTGACGCTGCTGGTTTACCACCAATTGCTGCTCACGACTGCCTGCGCTCTTGAATATTCCTTTATCTTTGCTACCACCAACAACAACGGTAGGATGAGGAGGAGAGGAAATCTCCACATATGCCTTGCGGGAATCAGAGTAGACAGGCTCCAGGGACCCAAGGAGCCTTGCGTCCCGTACAGAAATGTGCCAATCAAATTCACTGCTCGGCCGACTGCCATGTGGTGCAGCTGCAGGTGCTACTGATGTTCCTGTAGTAGCAGTACTAGTTCCCCTCTTGGGGTTTTCTTCTCTCGATTGGGCAGTGGGTGCTGACTGCGTGGTGTCAATGCACAGCTTACCCAAGCCTTCTTGTTTCATTCGCTCTTTCGGTGGCCACAGGATTGCACAAAGCTTCTCGCAGTCAAGTAGATAGAGCTCATCTAGGTACGGGATGGATGTTGTACTGAGATCTAGTGTTTTCACTGCTGTGCCTGAGATGTCTAGGGTGTGGAGCCTCGACATCCATCCTCCCAAGAGTAGATTGTTCAGTTTAGTACATCCGCGGAAGGAGATTTGTTGTACCACATCACATCCGTCAACAATGACGACAGTCTCAAGGCAACTAACATTGCTGCTTACCCCTGGCCCAAATAAGCTCTTCATGGTAAAGGATGAGTTTCCTGAAAAGTCAAGATGCTCCATCTTGTTCATCTCCGAGAACAGATCATTTTCCGAGCAACTGCATTTGACACCAGACTCTTTCACTCGGAGCTTGCGGATGTTAGGCAATTGACCCTGTAGCTGGCCCATGTCCCATCCCTTGGCCCCGATCACATTTAGCTCCCTGAGGTGGGTCATGAGAGCCAACATCTGCGCAGACAATATCTGATCACAGTCTGTGTAGCGCACGTCGAGCACCCACAAGCTCTGAAAGCACCGGCGGATGTCGTCCTCCTTTCCCGCTCGATCTGTGCTTCTCTTGGTGCCTTGGCAATGGTCAAGCCACAGAAACCTGAGGCTTTGGCAGCAGAGGAATGGAGGTGCCTGAAAATCAAAGGTGCAGCCTGAGAGCTTGAGAACACTAAGCTTGTCAGCATAGTGTTGGAACATGCCTCCATTTGGAATAGCTCGGTCCGAGATCCGAGTAAACCCACAAGTCGGTGAACTCCAGAATGGCTTGCTCTTGACAAACTTTGCTAAGTGAGGGGAAAGCAAATATTGATGGTAGTCCGCATCCAGTGGCATCTCAAACTGCAGAGCATCAGCAGCTCGCCACAACCCATCATCTCTCTGTCCCTGTTGTAGCTGCTGATGTATGACGCCATCACATACCCAGTAGTTGGTGATGTGGGTGTCCAACTCATAGTCAATCCACTGACTGCGTATGCAACACAGCTCCCACATGTACAGGAAGCACTCGACCACTTGTTCGGGCTGATCGATAATGCCGGCAGACCCAGTTTTGACCTTGCGTGCCGCAACTACTTCCGCAGCCTCTTGGAGTACAAGGTAGGGCCAGAGCTCCTCTCGCATTTTACGCAATGGGTATGCCGAGAGAAAACATCAGTTGTTCCCGCGGTCTTCATGGCCGTCTCAACTTTTGTCCGAGGTTTGAGCCGGAATCTCCTTGGAATGTCCACAGCACCTTGCTGGTCGAGTACCCGGACAGAGGGAAGCCACACAAACTGGCAAGATCAATCTCCTCGCTGCTTCCATTGTGGAAAACCACCAAGAATCTGTTATCCAGTTTCTTTATGTGCTGATGCATCTCCCTCACTACTTGTTGCACCTCAGCTCGGGATCCCGGGGCCACCCCGTGGAAATCGTCCTCCTCGTCCTGCCTGTCGAACAACTCCATCACTTGATCGGGGAGCCTCAGCTGCTCTGCGACCAACCTCTGAAGCACTCTCCTGCTCTCCCACATCGAGCAGTCAATGTGGATGACCTGATCAAACTCCTGTTCGGCCAGAGCCCTCTTCCCATCTGCTGAAGTTGTGGCGAGGCGTTGGGCGATGGCTCGGAGGACTGCGGACGCCCCCAGCCCGTCCCAGCCATCGAAATAGAAGACATTGTCTCTGCTACCGACGGTTCTGGTAGTATTAGTCTTTTCCTTCAGCGTTTGGAGAATTTTTTCAGCAGCCTTGTCTATCGTGTCGGCCCAGATATTCTGCATACATATGCACATAAGCATCAGGTCATCGGGTCACAAGGTATGCTCATCACTTGAAATTAAGAAGGAACAATAATAAAAAGAGAGATCTTGCTAATTCTCAGTGGTTTACCTCTGTACGCATGATGGATTGGATTGAAGTAACCGTCCGCGCCAATCAGTTCGACTTAGCTTGGTGGATTATTTGTCCGGTGTACCAGGACTGTATCTTGAACAGTAAATAATGCTGCAACCTCCCCTTCAGTTTGGAAGGGAATGGTCCATGCATACCGATGCCAACGACCAGCAGACCGATCCCATTTCGATTATATATGGAATCTAACCCATCGATCATTATTCCATCCGCTGACCTGATCAACACACAAAATTGAAAGTACTCACTCAATTCCGAAATATAAGAGATCTTCAGTTTTTCTATATCAAATTATCTTAAGTTTATTTGACCAAGAGTAAAATCTTAACTTCTATTACATCAAAAGGGGTACGTTTTCATCTCATAATAATATGTCTAAGGAAGCTTAATTATTTGATGTCATAAATATTATTGTTCTTTTTTCTAGAACTTTTGTGAAATTTATGACAATGTGAGTTCGACCAACTAAAAATACATCATATTTCAGGACAGAAGGGGTATTTAAGAACATATAAATTATCCATGTATCTCAAATTTTATGCCACATACGTATGATGTATTCACTTCTCCAAATTATTTGATTTCCATGATGGGGCAAAAGCTACATGCAGCATAGCAGCAGAGACGATGAACTTGAACTTGCGCTGGAAGGGATCTAGTAATTAAATTTCATACATCGGTTATATTTAATTGGCATGCAGTAGCAGGGCATATAAAAATATTTTTTTTCTAGAAATTAGTTGTTTTTTTCTCGAATATAGCAGGAGATATGTAGAAAGCCAAACGGATCAAACCAAAGATTGCATGTAATTTCAAATTAGTTGTTTTTCCCATGATTATGAGCATGTTACATACATTGTAGATCCAATAATTTAATTACATACCTCGGTTATGTTGAATTTGCATGCAGCAGCAGGAGATAGAAGCCAAACAGATGGAACCGACGATTGAGGGAGTGTTGTGCTTGTGTGCGTGAGGGTCTGAGGGAGAGTCTAGAGAGAAGCAAAGTAGCTGGTGGTGGTAGTCCACAGAAACTTTGCTTTTTAGCCAAATGTTCGGATAAACTTTTCTTTTGTGTGTCTGTATGCTCATCAGAGATGATTCTTTGCTTATTGGGTGAGAAAAAGAAAACAAAAGACGATTCTTTGCTTGGAACCAGCTAAAGGGCCGCTGCAGAATTTTTAAAAGATAAAGATTAATAAAGGCATGCTAGTAATAAGTAGCAAGGCTCCTCTGTTCCTCGTTATATATCTGCCTGATCTGGTCCTACAGTATCCTTATTGAGTGTCCTTTTGTTTTGATGCCTTGTGAGGGACTCAAAGTGTACAAAGTTAGGGAATCCAATGTACTCCCTCCATCCAAAAAACTTGATATTCTAGAATTCAAAAAAAATGTGTCAGGAAACTTGATGTTTTAGCTTTTGGATAATAGATTAGGTTCATATCAACTTGAGATTGTGATCTACATGTTTCCGTATATTCCTTTCAATAAAAGTTTTTTTTTCACCTTCAACAAATAGGGATATATGAGTAATTTATGTTGATTATTAATCTACCCTAAAAATCTTAAAACATTAAATTTTTTGGACGAAGGGAGTACTAGCTAGATGTAGAATCCGAGCTGCTGCTATCGACCAGTGTTTTCTTTAACACTGGTCTATTATTAATTAAAGAATGTTTGGAAGGCTCCATGCTAAATCTCACAAAATAAATCAAATAAAAAATAAATTTAGAAAACTACCATATTAGTATTTGGGCAACAAAATAAGATTCCATATTAATTCTCAAGGTCTAGAAACTACCAGTTTGATCAAAGAAAGTAAAATAATAATCTCCATTATACTACTTCTTGGCAAAGACCAAATGGACCACTATAGCTTCAGCTCCTAATTCATTTGGTTATTTATTAGTTTGCGCCCATCTCTTCCGGTTCGACTTCATATATGTCTGCATGAAAAGTAAATTAACCCTTTTCGGTCTCTGATGTATATACTTTATACGGTGCATGCATGCATAATAAGTCATATCTATATTCTATATATTAGTGTGGAATTTCTACAATGGGGGATAGCTGCCCCGTACCCATGCCTTAGATCGGTGACAAGTGGCGTGATGAACGGGTGGATTGGAAGTGCTATTTTCGGCAAATGGAGTACACGGCTAAGACATGTTTGGTCTTTTTTGAACAATGGACCACATGCTACTGGTAGAAGTTTGTGAATGGGATGGAGCTGTGCGCCGTGTGGCTCTCCACGTGAGCAGCCGGGACCCCTTGTCAGTGACTCAGAGGAAACACAGATGAAATAGAGCGTGCATCGTGGTCTCCAAATTTTCCGGTAAAGCCGGTTCAGGGGATGGAGTTGTGGGGTCCACTGCTTGGAGAAGGGTGTTTGCTTTTTCAAAATTGCTGACGTGTAAATGTTGGCACTCACGTTGTATGAGCAGGCACTAAAATGATGACGGGACACACCTACTGCGTGAGAGCTCTAAAGAAGTTGAGGTGCAGTGGACAGAGGTTTTTACAGGTCACATGCTGCTGGATGCAGTGCAGTGCAGTGCGCCATTCACGTGCTGCGTGCACGGAGTTTAAAATTTGTGGATAATCAATCTTTAAATCCAAATGCCTAATTGACTGTATATCCGATTTCTAACTTTTTTACCATAATAATTTGTGATTTTATCTAAGGCAATTATAATATTTTTTGAGGTAAAAAGGTAACTATAATATTTAATTCATACACACGTTTAGGCATGTCGTTAGTATAGTATAAAATTCACGGCTCTAGTTTTTTGACAGATACAAATGTCTTTGACCGATACATTTTGAAATTGAATCCCTGCCAAAAGCTGCTAGGTCCTATCCTAGCCACCACCGTCATGCACGCTGAAATGCACAGGCTTTTGTCAGTACTTGTACAGATGAATGTGGGCGAGTGCTTGAGAACTTCGCACGCAGCTTCAATTACAAAACTTTGAATGACTATAGTCTCTAAACGCTGCATTACTTTTATGATCTGTTTGCAATATAATATTTATTGTAATTAAATCTATAAAACAAGACCCCACTTAGCTATGTTTTAACAAAAAATCATTTTTCTAACATATGGGCCCACGTGGAAATGTTTACGGATCTAAAGTAATTTGGCATGGCTAGCAGCGTTTTGCTTCTATGATTTTTATTACCAGTGAGTGAGATAGGCAAGGTCAGGGCGTCAGGTCTGCCCGTGGCTGCCCGTACCGGGAATGTAGCGGTACAGTTTGTGGACCGCAGTACAGCAGCCCACACCGCTTCAGTTACTTTCCTTCATTGAAAAGTCGACCGAAAAGTATTAGAGGCGCTGCTTAGTTCTAAATAAGTCACCTACTTATAAGTTAAAAAAGTGAAATAAGTGACTTATTTTACCAAACACCATCAACTTATAAGTCACCCCTACTTATAAGTTTTAAGTTAGTTCACCCCTGCTTAAAACTTATAAGTCACCCTTTTCCGCGTGGGGCCCACACCTTTAATGAACTTATAAGTCATCTACAACCAAACATGCATGACATATAAATTACTGGTTTTCAGTCACCTGACTTAGAACCTGTTTGGCAGGGCCCGGCCGATTTTCTCTCCCCTCCTTTTCCTCTCTCATCGACACGCGGAGCCACATGGAGCTCGTTTTTTCTAGCTCATGGCTCAAGTCTCCCTGAAAGTCCTGTTGGCCGCCCAATGCCGTAGCCGACACTTCGCTCTGATGGCGGGCCGGAGCCAGTAGAGCCCTGCCAAAGAAGTCCTTAATAAGTCACCTGACTTATGGAAACCAAACAGACCCTTATTCGCTGATTTATTATGAGAGAAAAATACTGTACCATAACTGATAAATCAGGCTGATAAGTTCAAGCGAATAGGAGTTCGCTTCGTTGAAAAGACAAGCTGAAAAGTACCGTTCGCTGATTTGTTGTGTGTTCCTTCGCTGAAAAAGTACGGCTCATAAGACGCTTATCTTATGAGCCGTATTTCTATATCCACACACACACACACACACATATATATATATATATATATATATATATATATATATATATATACTCTAATAAAGTTAATGTTGGCTTTGTCCAGGAACCACTCAAACACACACGCCAACACTCTTGGCGAGAGGTAGAAGAAGCACAATAGACACACTATTTTTCGGCGACGAACGCCGCTGCGACAAACTCGCCTGTATCTTGCTACATATTCACTGGACTTAGCAACTCAATACAGAGGAGCACAGGGGCTACATATAGGCCACGAACTCATCAGGAGCTAACCTTCACGTTCGGCCTTCATGCCATGATTCACATGACTCACTCAGTGATGTCCGAGAGGCTCTCGCTCGTTCGGGCATCACGGCTTTCCCATGTGAAGGCAACCACACACACCACTCACTCTGTCAAACTAGCACCTAACTTCCTAGGTAACTTAGTCTCCACCATTACATGCTAACATGCAAACCAAAAATAGAACCGCACACACTGACAACACCATGGCGTGGTTTATTCCTAACAATCATCCCCTAAACCATGACACCCCCATACGCCCAACCAACATGAATTTCGGCTCGTCGTTGATGTCGATGCCTTCCTTGCTGCTGTTGTGCTTGTCGCTGCCTTCGCTCAAGCGCTCCTTGCTGCAGCATTGATGTCGCCGACGCACCTCCCACCGCTCCTCCATGAGCAGTAGACGCTCAACGCCATTCACGACCGCCTCGACTCCACCACAGCACTCCACCACGCGCAACCTGCCGACAAGCTTCTCCAGCAACATGGTCGACATATAATATGGCTCCGATACCAATTGTTGGCTTCGCCCAGGAACCTCTCAAATACACACACGCCAACGCTCTTGGCCAGAGGTAGAAGAAGGACAATAGACACAGTATTTCCCAGCGACGAACGCCACGACGACAAACTCGCCTGTATCTTGGCTACATATTCACTAGACTTGGCAACTCAATACAGAGGAGCACA